ACGATTGCCTGCCTGCCAGGGTTGATGGATCCGATTCGAAAAGCTCCATCGAGCTGGGCATTATGCAACCAAAAGATGGAGAAGAGTGGCAACAGGACAATTTCCTCGTCTAGTTCGGTTTACTTTGTCGTGTTAATCGTCCACAAATGTCTCCAATCAAACCAATAATAATTGATCCGACGAAATTTTGTATTTAATATTTCCCTCTGCAGCATTGGAACTCGTCTTCTCTGTTGCCACATGATCCACGAGAGGAGCTCTTCAGCTCTCTCTTGGGTTGTTTTCAATACGACGGTTGAAACCAAATACAAACAAGAGGAGCCCTTCTGATATGACTGTATCGTTCGTTGGTTAATTATTTTATCAGAGCTATCCCTCCGCTACTTCAGCTGATCATTGCAGCGGTGGCTTCTTCTCTCTGCAGACAACGATTGGTGGGAACAGTGTGCAAGGTGGGGTGAAGACTGAAGTGTTGGGTTATTTTAATCGTTAAAAGGTCTGGGTTTTGACAGAAGTTAGTTGATTGATATATGGTTGTAGGAAATTCATGAGATCTGTGTCGTTAGGGCATTTCTCACCCTGACACACAAGGAGTCCAGGCAATTTCATATTTGTTTAGGGCAAAAGATCAAAGGAAACTATAAGGGATCGTTTTAAGATACGAGGCATTCAATAGGGCTCAATAGCACTTAGATTGCCGTATGATTCATAGTCAGTAAATACTTCGTTTAATATTCGTATATATATGACTGCATGTATTTTATCTTTTAATTTTAAAACTTTTGTATCCGTATTAATGTTGAGTATTTTTATTTTTTCTCGTTAATTTGATGGCTCCAATACTAAACACGTATAGAACCCGTAAAACACGTAAAATATTCAAAATTAATAAAAAAAATATAATTGAGGGCTAGAACTAACATAGAAAGTTCACTAAGCAACCTCATCCGGTCAAACTTATCAGATACTAATAGCTAATTGGGTGATAAATTTGTGATTTGAAGAGTGTTAAATTGTTCTATGGATCTATGAACAAGGGCTTGACCTAATGGTAATATCACTTGCCTAGAGCCTGGAGGTATTAGGTTCGAATCTTTTAAGTAGTATCTTAATCATAAAAAGGTAAACCTATATCACCCTTATCCAAAATAATGGATCCTAATCATGACAATGTAAATCTACGATCATTTTTTGGACCTGTCTTCTCGCGATATCTCTACCATCATTAACTACAATGAGCACAACATCCTAGATGGTGTCAACTGTCAAAGCTTGGTTCAAATACTACACTATTCATGCGATCTGCTGGCACGTTTGGAAGGAAAGAAGCCAGAGGATTTTTCAGGAGACTAACTGGTTGTACATCGTACTTGGTTGATGGGAAGATCATCCTGTAGACATCTTGTACCGATACTCGGCAGTAGAATGGCATTGTGGAAAGAAAACATCGCCATCTCTTAGAAATTACAAGGGCATTGCGATTTCAGGCTAATTTACCACTCGATTTCTGGGGCGAGTGTATACTCACAACAACATACTTAATTAATTGCATGCCGCTGGTGACCATAGGGAATCGTTCGCCTTTCGAGATCATGTTCAACAAGGATCCTAGACTCACAACAACATACTTTCTTTCTTGCTGTTTTCTTTTGTATCTTTCTCTCTTTTTCTTAGACTTTGGAACACTTTTATGTAGTTTGGTTTTAGCTGTTTCTCACGCCTTGTGGGAACCTGTTACGGAACCTTTTTCGTTTTTAATTAAGTTCATCACTATTATAAAAAAATTATTCAACTTCTAAAAAATGCATTAAAATAGTAATTTCATTAAAAATTTAACGAAATCAACATGAATCCGGACTCCACTAACATTTTTTCATAACTTAGTGACATTATGTCAATAACATTGTCACGTGGAATTAACTGGAAAAAAATCACAAAAGAAAAAAAAATTATAAACCCTTCTTTACACCACCCACAGTAGTGGGGGAGGAAGGGAAAGAAGAGCGAAAAAAGGAGGGGTCTCACAATGGAGTGGAGAAAGTAGAGAAAGAATGGAAAGAGGGGAAATTCTGGTGGGTTTTTCACCCACAACGTGACAAAAGAATGAGGGAAGGACTAGGAACGCGAGTAACAGTTTTTTTTTTCATTTTCTGTTATTGTTTTCTTTTACTTTTTTATTTAATTTGTTTTATTCTAAATTGTAGATGGCTTTTTTATTTTATTTGTTTGAATTTCAACGGACATATTTTACAACCATATTTTTCGACAGCTATAAACAACCATATTTTCCCAACTATATAAATAACATTCATTCTTCACATTCTTCTCCCACCCCTCAAATTTCTCTTCATAATATCCTAACAAAAAAGCGTCTCGTTCTCAAACTCTCTAAAATAGTGATCATGGTTGCTTCCAACTCTGCTCGCAATCCAAATTACACTAAGCCTGAAACTACGCTTTGTGCGAGACTTGGATAGAAATTTTTCAAGATCCAATTGTCGGTTATCATCAAGTCTCGACGGTATTTTGGCAAATAGTGGAAATTTTATATCGTTCGAAAGGCTATCATCTTCTTCTTGCTGCCTCCTCAGCTTCTCTATTAGGGGAACTCATTATACAGAGAGAGCTTGATGGAATGTAGAGAGATGTATAAAATTGTGAGAATGAAGAATGTTGAATGGTTGGGATGAATAGAATGACAAAATATAGCCTCCATTTATAGAAACACGAAAAGATTCATTCAGCCAGAATATGGTTAAAGGTGGATGAACAGTTCATGGCACCACTTATTCTGAATAAAACCGGAGGAACAATTCATGACACCACTCATTTTGATTAAAGCTGGATGAACAATTGATGTCACCACTCATTCTGATTAAAGCTGGAGGAAAAGTTGATGTCACCATTCATTTTGATTAAAGATGGAAGAACAGTTGATACCACCACTCATTCTGACTAAAGTTGGGTTAATAGTAGATGGCACAACTCATTTTGTGAACCATGTGATGAGTCATAGTCTTTTGAACATTATTGTGATTTCGTCATTGATGACGTCATATTTAATTAATGAGGAAAAAAAAAATAATGTCCAAAGAAGAAGTTTCCTTCCTTGTCGAGCGCTGTAGGCAAAGTTGAGGAGATGGACAACTTCTAGAGGGGTTTGTTGTCGGAGGAGCACGAACGATGTATAGGGCCTCATTCTTCTAATAAGTAAAACAATGTCGCCATAGAAGAATAACTTCTTCACTGGCATCATTTCGAAATTAGTAAAATGATATCCATATCTACCATTGTCGTTCATAGAAAAACTTCAACCTAATATGACGATGTCACCATCTCTTTGTAACCAATCTAACATCACATTTTCGTTAAGTGAGAAAAATCTCCGGTTAATGCATGAATTCACAACTTATATAATGAATAAAACATAACAATCAGGCATAGTTATAGTTAACTCCTAGCATAAATACATGTAACTAATACAATTATCTTACTGTCAATAGAAGTATCCACGTAAAAAAAATAGGTCAATGGTATGTGAATTGACTTAGTTTCTTAGCAATTATCCTAGGCTAAGAATACCTTTCTTTCATGGTTTCATCCAACATAATGTATGAGTTTTATCTAAATTAGACGTTCATATATTGTGATGTACACTCTACAAATACAAATACATTATAGGAACAATATTGAGCTTTATTTTATATGAATCTACGAGGGAGATACGTTTCACTGTAATAGTGGTTATGCAAAGTTTTAAGCATGTGTATATAATATTTATTAGATATATGACTATTACTTAACTGGTTAATTTGGTTTGATTGGTTAGTAGTGTTTGGAAACCAAACCAAATCACTGAAATCAAACAAGCTAAAAAATTTAAACAAACTAAATCGTTATTCAGATTAACCGAACCAAATTATTCAAATACTATCGATTAAAATAGTTATCACAATAACCACACCGTCTGAATATTTCTAAAATACGGAGACCTTTCCCAGGAAGTCAACGCAAGTGAAACAGAAGTCACCTGTGAAACAGAAGTCACCTGGTATTTCAGCGAAACAACTATCTTTCTTTTCTTCTTCTTTGTCGAACTCGATAGTTAGCTCGTGTAGGGACTAGGGATGGACTGGAAATGGTGGTTTTCGGATAGTGGAATTACAGGGCAGTTTCTTCTGCTTCCCAACAACTGGTTTTACCATTTAGTGGGGGTTTATTTCCCATTTAGGAATAAAGTTAGTGGCTAACAGAAAGCCATTTGGGTGACCCCCCGACTTCCTGTTATGTTCATTAGTTTATATATATACATATTTTGTGTTTTTAAACATTGAAAAGAAAAAAAAGAAAAAAAAAACAGGGTAACTTTTTTATTTTTCATTTTCTCCCCCAGGCCAAATAACATACTCAACCACTTCAATTAACACATGCGATGCAATGAGCCTTTTCCCCACCTTAAAGTAGGAACCTTAATCTCACGGAGCTTTAATCAAATTATGAAAAAGAACTGGAACACCACAGATCAACCTTCTCCATAAATATTGGATGTTACACTATTATCTAACCGGAGATCTAGATGGTCTGGGAAGATATGCAAATTGCATAGGAACTTGGCATAGAAAAAGCTAAGCAACAGATTCTGTATACAAACCATCTTGAAAATCCTCACGAGCTAGGAACAAAACCACACATACAAGTCACAGCACCCTTATCATGCAAGTCAGAGAATGCACTAAATGAGATTGAGAAGTTTGGATCAATCACATTTACCGCGTTGTAACCATGCAACATATCATCTAGCAAACAACGCTCGCTCTCTTACCTTGGGCGCTCATTTTATTGATTGTAATACCAATATACCATTATATTTTAAATATAGAAATTCATATTACTATTAGTATGATTAGGTAATTAGGTTGCTCTTAGCGTAATGCATGTTTTAGGGAAAAAAAGAAAAAGAAAGAAACAAGCCTCGAAACTACTTTTTTGTTTTTGTGAAAGCCTCGAAAAATACTAATAAATCTTTTCCTGTATTATGATGAATTTAACAAAAAAGAAACAGAAAAAGAAAGTACAAAAAAATTATCTGCCCAAGTCCTTATTTATTTCTCTGTGTTCCCTTTTACCCCTTTAACTTCTTTCCACCTTTATTTCCCACCCCAAGGCCAAGGAGTTGCCCCATCTGCGTGTCCACGATCAAAATGCTAAGCAAAGTCACAGACCCTATTAACATAAAAACTGGCCATCCTTTTTTTCACTTCTTACTGATTAACCCCTAACTGTACCAAACTTGTCCCTTCTTGTCTTCTAATCTTAAACTAACGCCTTTTTTTTTTTGGGTGGCAGCGTCCTTCCTTCCCGACGATCCCAGGTCAGTCAAACCGCCGGCGGCGGCGGCTGCTGCTGCTGAAGAAGCCAATTTCTGAAGACATCGAGGGTATTCATGTCGGCTCTATAATGTTTCTGGGTAAACTCCAGCAGAGTCGGCCATGTGAAATCCGGGTAGACCCTGGGGTTGCTCTCGTCCACCAGTTCCTCTGGCGGCGTCACGATCTTGTCGCTCTTTGGGCACAAAAAGAAGGCCAGTGACTTCCTTGTGGTCGTGCTGTTCACCACCGCTCTGTGCAAGCAGCTCTTGAATTGTCCGTTCGATAGCGCCTGGTTGTTACCACAGAATGAAACATCTTTAGATTTTGCCGAGGGAAACAAAGAGAACCCGACTTTTGAATTAGTGGAATTCGTTTTGGAACCAAGGAAAGTTGGGATCTTTTTTTTTTTTTTTTTTTTTTTTCCTTCTCTTACCATGAAGGTGTCGCCAATGTTGACGACAAAGGCATCGGAATTGGGGGTGATGGAGCGCCACTCGTTGTCCACAAAAACTTGCAGCCCACCCACTTGGTCCTGGTGGAGGATTGTTAACGACGTCGGGTCGCAATGAGGCCCTGTTCCTAATGTGGCGTCAGGTTTTTGGCAGGGTGGGTAATAGTTCAGCCTCATTATGGAGTCGTTCTCTTGGAAGAATTCCCTGAAATGTGATCTCTTCTTTACTCCCAAGCTCAATCCCAGAAGCTCCATGATCCTTAAAGAAAGCGTGCTCATCGACTCGCAGTAGCTTTGGTACACATTCCTGTTAAGAAAGGAACGAAAATCCCATCAGTTAGAGACAGAGGTAAAAACAGAGTGTTGTGAAAAACAGAGAGGTGGGAAAACAGAGCAAGGTTTTGTTTGTTAGCAAGTTACCCGAATTCCGAGAAATCTTGGCCCATTCTGTCTAGGAGATAGTCTCGGACGATTTTAGCCGAGTCCTTTTCGGCGGTAAACCGAAAGGAAAGCGTTTCTTTCCATGGAAGCTTGGAGGAAAACCTCCCCGTGAAACTACTGGCGTAACCGGCGCTCTCGCCGAGCTTCCTCTGCGCCTTTTGCTTCTCCGAGAGCGGGAGCTCGAAAAATTCATCCATATACTTATGGGCATCAGAAAGCAGCTTGCTTCCCACGCCGTGATTGGCTACCAGAAAGAACCCGTGCTCCCTGCAGGCGTCCCCGACGAGTTTCGCGGCTTCTTTGGTGGCCTCAGGGTCGCCGGAGAGGAACCCGGCCAGGTCGATTAGAGGAACTTTCAGCTCGGGGGCATTGCCGCTTGGCTTCTCGTGGTCAGGCCAGATGAACTGCTGGGGAATGTTGGCTTCGTGCCTCAGGAACTTGGCATCGAACACCAAGGGGTTAGCTCCAGCTTTCTGGGCTGTCTGTTCGACTTTGCTGTGAAGAGCTGCGTGATTATACCCGTTGGGCTTAGAGGGGGCTGATTTCACGGTGTCAACTGCCATTGCATTAACTTTACCGAGGCGATGGGTATTGATTAGAGAGGAGAAACAGGGGAGAGGAGAAACAGGGGAGACCGAGAGTTGAGAGGAGAAACAGGGGAAAGTGTTCGATGAAATGCTCAGCATAGCAGAGGGAAAGGGAGGGAGTGAAATAAGTAGTGGGGAGGACAGAGGGGGGCGAGTTGGGATAGAGGAAAAGCCAAAGTCCGTTCGCAGTTTGTCATTGGGAAGATCGGTGAACAAAAGTTGGAATCTTATAGAGTTCTCTTCCTCTCTCACTCTCTCTGTCGTTTGCGCCCTTCTTCTCTAATTTCCCTCTCTTTCCTTTTCCTTTCCTTCGTGCTTGTATTTTTGTTATTAATATTATACTTTAAATTGAACAGGGTGTTGAGGATTATGAGCTCTGTATATTGAATGAAATTCCATGTATATGATTTCTCTGGTGTGGTTTAGTCACATTCCATTTTGGGCAAAACGGTTTCCTTTTACCAGCTGGATTACTCTGCAATCTAGCATTCTGCCATTCTATCAAAGTAGGTATGCTCGATTGTGTCAAAGTAGGTAGCCAAATGCTAGATTGTGGAACACGAATTAAGGTTTTATCAGTCTAATTAGTGTATTCTATCTTGTATTCTTTAATTGCAGAAAGGTAAAGAAAAGTGAGGGATGTAATTGTAGAGGTAATTAACACGTATTATAGTGGCATGCACCTTTTTGGAGTATGGGTAGTGTGATTATCTGAGTCGAACATCTTTACATACAAGAAGCTATTAAAGCTCCCTGTGCTTACCCCAAAAAAGCAAAGAAAATCTACCCAATCCCTACATGTTTGCAGAAGCTAAACAATACATATATTTCCAATATGTGCTCTTTACACTTGTACCTTTTTTCTGCAAAAGTTCAAAACATGTTTTAAAAAGTCCATTACTCCATAGAAGTTGGTAAAAACCTTAAAATACTTTTGTTTCATGCTTAGTGTTGATAGGGTTTGAGAAATAATGATAAATCTTTGCAAACTTGATGGAGGAATCATCAGCTCGGTTCAATTAAAATGTTGTAGACCTATAAGATGAAGTCATGAAGATCTGGTATAGTTTTGATATGTAATTCAATGTTTAAGTCAGTATTGAGGAAATCATTTAGGGCTGAAATTGACATGATCTGTCTCTGACCCTGTCCGATTCGCTTTTGAAGGGTCAACTTATATAGCTCATTCGTCACGCCACTGTTTCATTCTTAATCATGTCTGACCATCTAGAATTGGGGCGGGCTAGGAAAGTGCGTAGGGTCAAATCAAAACACTGATTTTTTGAAAATTTATTTTTGGTAATACAAATTTATTTTTTCTTACAATGTAGTACCTAAACTTAGTTTTTATGAATAAGTTCATAAATTTTGGTGGTAAAATTGCATTTTAGTACCTTTTATTTTTGTACCTGGCATTATAGTTCCTAAACTTTTAACACTTGACTACCAGGTCCAATATGTTAGTATCATGAATTTTATATCACTAGTTGATGCTCTGGGTCACAGGTCAAAAAGTGAACCACCCTAAGTTGACCCAACCCTACCCAACCCTTACAGGTTTGAAGATGACCTGATACTAAATTGACCCTGTAGATAAAGCGGGTCAGTGTGTCTTTATGGTCAACTTTACATCCCTAGGTAACATCATCCTAAACAATGACAAGTAAAACTAGACGAAACGGTTAAGTAGAGATTGTATCGAGGCTTGCTGTTATGATCTCTTGAAGTCATAGACACCAAAGGAACATGAAGAAAATGGAGGAAAAAATTGCAAAGTACCCCTATTTAAAAAATATTTCCAAAAATACCACCCAACCTAAAAAATTTCCAACAATACCACCTTTTTCAAAAACCGCCAACCCACCCTGCGGTTTACATGAAAACCGCTGGGCGGGGGCGCGGTTTTCTATGCAAACCGCTGGGCTAAGGGGCGGTTATAAAAACCTATAAAAACCGCTGGGTGGACCGACGGTTTTGGGCCAAACCGCCACCCCACCCAGCGGTTTGGTCCAAAAAAAAATTTCCCGATCAACTCCTAACTTCGGCCGAAACTTCAAACGAACGTAACTTTGCACTCGGGAATCCGATCGTAGCGATTTTTTTTTAAATCCAAATAACTTTTCAAGATCTTGCAAGCCGCAAACAGCCATAGGAGGTTTGGTCCCGCTTTCGTCTCGAAAATACGTCATTTGCTACCCCGAACGAGCCTTTTTTTGATTTCGTCAAACTTTGGGCGTCCTTAACTTTGTGCTCCAAAATCCGAACGTCATGAATTTTTTTTTATTCCGCATAAATTTTCAAGATCTACAACTTTTAAGATAATCATAATTTCGAAATGTACATGGATTTGTGAAAAGTTAAGGTAAAGTTATTCCCAATGTCCCGTATATCCACAACTAATTCCTGTTTTGAAAATTTCACAATAGTAAAAGTTGCAGATCTCGAAAATTTATTCGGATTAAAAAAAATCGCTACGATCGGATACCCTAATGCAAAGTTACGTTCGTTTGAAGTTTCGGCCGAAGTTAGGAGTTGATCGAATTTTTTTTTTGGACCAAACCACTGGGTGGGGTGGCGGTTTGGCCCAAAACCGCCGCCCCACCCAGCAGTTTTATAGGTTTTTATAACTGCCCCTTAGCCCAGGGGTTTGCATAGAAAACCGCGCCCCGCCCAGCGGTTTCGTGTAAACCGCAGGGTGGGGTGGCGGTTTTTGAAAAAGGGTGGTATTTTTGGAATTTTTTGGGATTGGGTGGTATTTTTGGAATTTTTTTTTAAACAGTGGTATTTCTGGAAAAAGTCCGAAAATGGAAGACTGAGAAATATAGAACTAATAGTTGATTTCTTTGATTGTTTTGTCCTCCTTAATGTTTGGAGGTGTAGAGCCTCAAATAGACATGGTCTTGGTCCTTGACTAGATCTTAGTTTGGATCCTGGGTCTCTATGTGAACCTTGTTGGGAGACTAACGGTTTTGGAGATTTCACACAAAAAGCTGGAGCCAAAGCTATGCGGTAGACTCATAGATGGTCAAGTTGGAAACACTCTTAAGTCTTAACAACTCCTTGAGTCGAATTATTTATGCTCCTTAACAAATTTAGGATGACAATTAAACCCATGGCCGCGGGTATTCGACCCATGCTCCTTGACCGGGTATGAGGCGAGTATGGGTAAAACTCGTAAAATGTTTGATGGGTATGGTTTTAGCCTCCCCCGCCCCATACCCATACCCATACCCGCCCCACTAAGCACATTTCTTCACATATAACAAATATATGAATAAAATTGTGATATATGAATGATAGTGAGGGTACCTCAAGAAAATAAATATTAGAAATGCAATTGAGTGACCACCCAAATCAAAACATAATTCCTTTTCGTCAACTCTCCCTTCACTCTTTCACTTTTCCCCTCGTGTTTACTAGATTATGTTAGTTTGTTATTAGTTAGTAGATGTATCAGAGTCAGAGAAGAATGATTGGTATTACATTATATTGTACTCTATCTTATGGAGTAATGGATTGTTTAGGATAAGATGCTTTGAATCGTATAAAGAATGATAGTCTTTTTGTCAACTTCACGATAGTAGGTGCGTTTAATGTTATAATTGAGAATGTACATTTAAAATTTTAGGTATTATAATGTCAGATGTACGGGGCGGGTATTACTGTACGTGGGCACCGGGCCGTGCCGCCCACGGGCTAGCACGACACGGCACGGTTAGAGCACGGCACGAGCACGGGCAAGAAATAAATGGGCCAGCCCGGCACGAGCACGAATAATTTATGGGCCGTGCCGGGCCTAAACTTCATGGGCACGGGCACGAGCACGGGCACGACACGGTATATAAGTGGGCCGTGTCGGGCTTAATATTTTCGAGACTTTATTGAGTATAAGAACGGACATGGCACGAAAATAATATTTATTTGATAGAAAATATATATAAAAAGAATGATAGGTTCAAATATTACAAAACACAAGTAGAAAAATAATTATTTGTTGTTGTTAGAAGTGTCATAAAGATATATACGTAATTACTAACATAAGTAAAAATGAATAAAGAATTAAACAAAGCCAAACTATACTTCCAATTTTCTTTTCCCCCTTATTTGTTACTTTTCTCAAACATTATCGGTTAATACTATCTTCCTCCGTCCAATTTTCACCTTCTTTTTCATTCTCTCTTTTATTTTCGTCATTTTCATTAAACACGAATGCGAACATGGCACGAGCACGAATAGGCACGGCACGATTCGAGCCGTGCCCGGGCCTGGGCCGGGCCTAGCAAAGTTAATAAATGGGCTTGCATGGCACGACACGAAAATTGACGGGCCGTGCCAAGCACGGCACGAAATAAATGGGCCCGAAGCGTGCCCGTGCCGTGCCGGCCCAAGCACGGCCCAGCGCCCATGTACAGGTATTACCCATGGGTACCCGAAACCCACGGGTATGGGGATGGGTTTGCAAAACCTTCCCCGCATGGGTATGAGGCGGGTATGGGTATAGATATTTGATAGCAGGTATGGAATAGTTTAGACAAATCCGCCCCAAACCCGCCCATTGCCATCCCTAAACAAACTACACAATATATAGGAAGGTAAAAACGTAAGTAGAGTGCACTAAAGAGACTTTTTACTAGTAAATTTCAGAGAACACATACTGCACAAGTAACATGTTAAGTGATTTTCACCAGCTAATATAAATTGGTATTTTACATGTAATCGTGTATCTTCACAAATTTAATTATTCGAACAAACATCTAATGAACAAAAGCTAAATTGTAGAAAGTTTGATCTTAGATGAGCTCTTTGATTGAAATTGATGTGTCCGGGTGATGAGAATGCTTGTGGGATCGTTTGGATAGGGATATTTAATAGATCAATTTGACTCAATTGTTTCGTTTTGAAATAATATGATTATATTGATCTGTTTGGCAGCACAAAATTCAGATAGTGCAATTCTGCTTGGGGAATTTCAAATTGGCTGGTTTTGAGTCAATTATAATTGTCTGGGATTGGAGAAGACAATTCAAATTGACTCATTTTACATGACTCGTTTTGTAAAATGAGACAATTGGCCAAATTGACTCATTTTTCAATTAATCCATCCGAACGACCCCTATAGCATTTTAGACAAATTCTACATCGACAAAGCAAATGAGAGATCTATATTCATAAGTATAACATCCAACCTTAACTGACAAAACGTGTTTTGTGATGAAATGAATGAGTTATTGTAAGAATTTTTAAGGTGCATAGATTGGTGATCGAGAAAGAAGTCACCATAATACACTCAAAAGCAAA